GCGCCACCAGGGAAGTCCCTCAAAAAGTTCATTTAAGGTCTTCATTAAGGAGCCTCAGCCCAGCTGGGAGAGGAGTAATTAACCTTCGTTTTATTGCTTTATCCTCATGTACAGAATACCACTTCAAAGTTATATCAAGAGCCTACCTTTAAGTTAGAAAAACAGTAACCATCAGTTAAACTGATGACTGGGGAGAGGCGGGGGTTTGAGTGGGTGGAAGAAGAGAAATATCCACAGGAACAACTTCCTAGTCACTGACAGAGAAAGATAAAAATAATGTCCTCCTCAGACAGCTGCCATTCCTACTTAGCTAAGTGTCTGGCACACAGCTCTTATTATCATTATTATAGCATGCTTATGAGCATATATCCACAGCACACTCATTCCAGCTACATTTAAAACTAGCTAATTTCAAAGAGTGAAGAGCAAAAGATCCAAAGCACTAGGCCAAGAATCAAAATAAAATCTGCTCTTAAGTCATAAAATTATAATGGAATGGGCCTTCATTTACTTATTTTATTTTATGCATGGAGACACGGTGACTTAATGAGACTAAAAATCAAAGTCACAGATTTACCAGCAACGCTAGGACTTGAATTTGAGTTGCCCAACTCCACGTTCAGAGCCACATACATTTCTGTTACTACACACCGGCACAGCTACCTTCAGCTCTGGGAGTGCTTATTGAACATCTTCTGCCACATAGGGGATAGTGAATATTAACACTGAGCCAAGGAGCTTATGTACACAAATTATATTCAGCACTAAAGCTCATCCTCCCCCTGCCCCTCGCCCCCCAGGTGTCAGCCAACCTATCCTCTGGCAGCTCGTCACACAAGGCCAGTCACAGCAGTGCCCTGTGCTCAGACTGCTCTTCCCACCACTCAGCTCTCAGCTCAAACATCACCCACTTTAAGAGGCCTTCCCTGACCTCTCTATCTAGAGAATCTGGCAGGGAAGCTACTTTAACTCATTATCTCATTTTTCCTTCATAATTTTATTTATTTGTTTATTTGGAGCAGGAGTGAGCCAACCGTGGCCCACAGGCCAGCCACCTATTTTTATAAATTAAATGTTATTGGCACACAGGCACCCCCATTCATCTACCTATAGTCTACGGCTCCTTTCTCACTACAAAAGCAGAGCTGAACAACTGCAATGTAGACCATAGGGCTCACAAAGCCTAAAATATTTACTCTTTGGCTCTTTAAAGAAAAAAAAAGTTTAATAATCCCTGTCCTAGAAGAATACAGGCTCCGAGAGAGCTGGAACCTTGTCTGTCTTGTTCACTGCTGTATCCCCAGTACTTAGAACAGTGCATGTAACAGATGCTTAATAAAAATGTGTCGAATGAAAAATAAAAAACATCTAACTCGAAAACAACCTACAGAGCCTACCTCCATTTTACAGATAAGGAAACAGAGGCTCAAAAACGTGAAATAACTTGCTGGAAGTCTCAGCATATATCAGTAAGGAAATATGAATGCTGACCTGTCTGGTTCCTAACACACCTACTCCTAAGAATATTAACTTGACTCATTAAAGTGCTCACCACATATTGGGTACTGTACCAAACTTTCATATATATATATTTATATATGATACCATTCAATCTGCATAAGGGTGTGTCTTCATGAGATTATGATGGTAAAAGAGAAGCGGAGCAACATAAAATATCTGCAAGTGACTATTAATAGACTTCAAAGTTTATCGTTCTAACCCCCAAGCAAAAGCGCTAAGATAAAGCATCTGATGTGTGCTGAGAAGAATTCAAACATGGCCAATTTCAAAATCATAAAATCCTCATATTAGCAGTAATTTGGAAAATGAACATCATAAAAGATGTTGTTTTGTTTTGTTTTTCATTTATGCAACAAATATTTATACGTCAAAAGTTGCTTAAGTCACTGGGAATTTAGGATGAACAAGAAAAACAAGGTCCCTGCTCTTATACAGCTTACATTCTAGTAGAAGGAGGCACACAAACACACATGATACCTAAGAGATAAGTGGCCTGTGAAGAATTAAAACAGGTTGATGTGATGATGGGTGCCTCAGAGACTGCTCTGGATTATGTGCCCAGAGTTGGTGGAACAAGAAATAATGGGGTAGGGGGTAGAGCAGCTGTAAGTCATCAATATCCCCGCCCATCCCAGTAGCAAGACAGGAGCTAACTTCTAAAAGTAGTAAATCACATTATATAAAAGACATACCAGAAGAAATCAGCTGAAATAATTCAAAGTGGCTGTGCCAGAGGAGCACAACACAGAATGGGGTGAGGCGGCGGGAACAGCAGTGAGGAAGGAGGCAGGTGTTTTTGATAAGCCCTTTTTTTTAAAATGTATGCAAAATATCTAATAAAATTAAGGAAATTTACCTTTTAAAATCCTATTCAAAATTTCAAAAAATTCATAAAATTGCTAAAAATAAGCCTAACAAGTAATGTGGACGAACTACAAAAATAAAACTGAAGGACATAGTGGGAGATCTTAATAAATGGTGAGATGCAGCATGTTCTTGTTACCATGTTCTTGAATGGGGAAACACACTATTCTCTTTTTTTTAGAAAAGAAGTCTTTACTGAATTTATTACAATATTGCTTCTATCATGTGTTTTGGCCTTTTGGCCACAAGGCATGTGGGATCCCAGCTCCCCAAACAGGGATCGAACCCATACCCCCAACATTGGAAGGTGAAGTCTTAACCACTGGACCGCCAGGAAAGTCCCTGGAAACACATTATTCTAAAAGAATATATTATTTTTGCCCAAATTGATGTATAAATTCAGAGTAATACTAGCAGCGTTTTTCATGGAATTGAAAAGATGTTTTAAAAATTCAAATAGAAGAGTAAATATACTATTGAAATAGCAAAGGTAATTTTTAAAAAGAAATAATGAGGAACTTGCCTCACCAGATATCCACTCATTCATTCTACAAGGGCTCTTGCTCTGACTGTGTGTGCACCAGGCACTTTTCTAGGTGCCAGAGAGCCAGCAGTGAATAAAACAGACGCCTGTCATTAAAGGAGCTTGGTTTTAGTGAACAGAGCAGGACAAACACACAGCGATCAACACAACATGTAAGATGTCAGGAGGTTAACAAGAGCTTCAGAGAAACATTAAGGAAGAGAAGAGGGGCAGAGAGTGGGACGGGGTGCTATCTTATAGAAGGTGGTCAGGAAGGAGCTCTGAAGGAAGTAAACCATGTAACCAAAGATTTTAGAAAGTAAACACAATTTAAGGTGGGATATTGGATAATAACAAACAAAGCAATTAAACAGAAAAAAAGCTCAGAAATAAGCCTATGTACACATGATGATTTGTTATGTCGAAAACATGGCTTTTAAATCATGGGCAAAAGGACAGTCTATGTAATAAATATGACGGCTATCCACCTGTTTCTAAAAAATTATGTTGGGCTCTTCTCCTTATGAACCACAAACACATTCCAGATGGATTAAAGACTTAAACATTTAAAAAAATCCTAAACTTTGTTTGGTTTGGGGGAAAACATGTTCCTGACCTTGAGAAAGGGGAAGGCCTTCTTAAATAAAACATAAAAGCAATGAAAAAAAGTGAAATATATGACAGTACCAAAATTTAAAACTTCTACTCACGAAATATACCATAAGCAAATTGAAATACATGTGACAGAGTAGAAGCAAGTATTTGTGACATATATAACAGACAACGAGTTACTACCCAGAATATATAATAAATTCATACAAATCCATCAGAAAAAGACAACACAATAGGAAAATGAGGAAAGA